GATCGTACTGTATTTTTTGTAAAAGTATTTCCAATACCCAGATAAATAATAACGGTGATAACGGACAACCTTGCCTTGTTCCTTTCTGTACTTTGAAGTTATCTGTCAGTTCTTTATTCACATTTATTTTAGCTCTTTGTTCAGAATAGATAGCTTCAATACAATTTCTAAAATGTTGTCCCGCTTCAATCTTTTCCATCATCTGGTGCATAAAATTCCAATTAAGATTGTCAAAAGCTTTTTCTGCATCAACAAACAGAAAAGCTACTTCTTTTTCTGGGTGCTTTTCATAATATTCAATTGCGTCCATTACTATTCTTACATTGTCTCTAATCTGCCTTTTGGGTAAAAAGCCCGCTTGATCTTCAGAAATTACCGTTTGTAAATAGTTTTTCACCCTTTCTGCAATAATTTTTGCAAAGATTTTATAATCGTTGTTCAAAAGAGATATTGGCCTGTAGTTCTTTACATTTGTTGAATCTTGTCCTTCCTTTGGAATCAAAGAAATAATTGCTTCTTTCCATGAGTCCGGCACCTTTTTGTTTTCTCTTATTTCGTTGGTTAAAGCTTCCAGGACCGGGGAAATTTCTTCTTTCATCTTTTTGTAGAATTTCGCTGTAAATCCGTCCGGCCCAGGCGCCTTCCCCAACTTTGTCTCTTCTATTGCCTTCATCACTTCTTCTTTTTGAATTGGACCATTTAATAAATCTTTGTATTCCTTACTTATTTTTGGTAGTGGAATCTCCTTTAAATATGTTTTAATCTTCTCAAGATCAACTCTAGTTGTTTGGAATAGTTTAGCATAATACTTGAAGAAACATCTCTTTATTCCATTAGGATCAACGAACTCTTTTCCATCTTCTATTATTTTGGTTATCATTCTTCTCTCTCTTCTAGCCTTAAGTTGCCAAGCTAAGTATTTTCCCGGTTTGTTCGCCCCTTCAAAAGATTTCTGTTGTAACTTCTTTAAATTCCAATACATTTCCTGATTCCAAGTCTCATTCAGTTGTTCCTTCAGCAACTTTAATTCTTTAATAATTTGCTTTTTTCCAGGCTTCTTTTTTAATTCCTTTTCTTTCTGAGCAATTTTTTCTAACACTTCTGTTTGTTTTTGAAGTTTTTCCTTTTTTTGCTTCACGTTTTGCGAGATGAGAATTCCTCTCATCACCGCTTTATAAGCATCCCATACAATCTGTATCGGTGTTTCTTTATTTAAATTTTGTTGAAAGAATTGTTTCGTTTCTTCCTTTAACATCTCAATTACCGTTTTCTTATCCAACAAGTCTTCATTAATCCTCCACAGAAAGGGTTTTTTCCTTTCTGTGGAACTCCATACCACCGGATTGTGATCTGAATTACATCTTGGCAAAATTTCAGTCTTATGTGTTTTCATTGATAATTCTTCAGACATCCAAATCATATCAATTCTGGAAAAAGAGCAATGTCTATTGGAATAAAAAGTAAAGTCTTTCTGCATCGGGTTCCATTTCCTCCAAACATCTTCTAATTTTTCTTGCTTAACTAATTCAAAAAAATTCTTTGGCAATTTTCCGCTGAATTCGTTGTCCTTTTGTGGTTTTCTGTCTAGACGATCTATTGTCCCATTAAAGTCTCCGGCCATAATAACTTGCTCATAAGTCAATTGTTGTAATTGGTCAGTTATATCCTTAAAAAATTTTTCCTTTGCTCCATTGGGTGCGTACACGTTGATCAACAATGTTTTTTTCTGCTGAATCATTAATTCCACACCCACGTATCTGCCATCTATGTCCTTAAAAATTTCTGTAGGTTGTAACTCCTTCTTCACATATGTCACAACTCCTTTTTTCTTGTTTGAGGCCGCAGAACAAAATTCAATTCCAAATAAAGCATTCTTTAAATATTTTATATCCTGTTTTCTAATATGTGTTTCTTGCAAGCATATCACGTTGCATTTCTGTTTCTGTATCCAATGATTGATTCTTTTCCTCTTGTTTGGTGAATTTAATCCATTAACATTCCATGACAACAATTTGTACTCCATTATGCGTTTTATTTTAAAGTTCTCCAAAGACGTCCGCATTGTCCGCCTTAAATTTATAAAAGTCCATCATCGATCTGATCTGAATCCTCCCACCTTGATACGTAAAGGATAAACCTTGTGGAATCTCCCATCTATATCTGATGCTCAAAGCTCTGAGTTTGTCCGCCAAGGATTTATACCTTTTCCTGTCTTGCAGTATTGTTCTTGGGAGTTCTCTCATCACCATAATTTTGTTTCCCTCTATTACAAAAGGGACGTTGAATTGCTTCTTGAATATCTCCTCTGTTATTGATCTTGTTACAAATTGTACAATTACATCCCTTGGTAAATTCTTCTTTTCTGCAATTCTGGAGTTCACTCTATAAATCAAATCAAAGTCTGAGTCCATTGACCCTTCCTCCTCGCCCAGAAAAGCCGTTATCACTTCCATCATTTTTTCTTTTAAGTTCTCATTCTCTGTTTCCTTAATGCCTCTGAATCTCAGATGAGTCTGCATCCTTCTGAACTCCATCATTGTCTCTGATCTTGTAATTTGTTGAGTCAAAGAATCTTGTTTCTCTTCTATTTTTTGTATCTTCTCCTCTGTCTCTGTAGTCTTGGTTGCATTTGCTTGAACATCCTTCTTAACTCCTTCCATTTCTTGCTTGATTGAAGTTATTTCTGTAGTAACCAATTCCTTCAATGCTGTTATGTTCTTCTCTTGGACTTCTTCTAGATGTTTCAGATGAATCTGAGTTTGCTTCTCCAGTTGGTCCCCCAATGTTTTTTCTATCTGCTCCCCCATGGCTTGTATTGCCTCTGTCATTCTCTTCTCCATTGCTTCCATGGAGGCAGGCTTCAATCAACTTTTTTCTCTCCGGAATCGGATTTCTGGGATTTACTATTCATTTTCCGCTCAACCGCTTAATTCAAATTGACTCCAAACTCAGTTCAGGTAAGCGGCACGTTTTTGTTATCTAGCACGTTCAAAACGGGTTTCGCATTGTTTCTTTTAACTCACAGTTGTTGTCCTTCTTCAAAGAAGTCTGCTGACGAAGAATTTATGCCGGTAATCCGGCTCGATCGGCCACTATAGAGTTGCTTGGCACTTGCCTTCTTCGTGGGAGGAGGTCAAAGCCCAATTCAGCTTCTTCCGAAGCTGGATTACGCCAACCTCACACTCCCTCTAGGGCGCTGCTGCCTGCTTGTCCCCCCCCCTCGCTGGGGAGTGATGCGTTGGGCTGTGTATTGCCCAAACTGTCGAAAGTGGCCGTCGCTCGCTTCGCACGATCGCGAAACGCTTCAGTCCTCCATCTTAGCCAGACCGGAAGCCTCTTCATTAGCTTTTTGAGTTACAGACAGTAGCTAAAGAATTCAGCACAGCTACGATCAGGGCTTTTTTTGTAGAAAAAGCCCAGCAGGAACTCATTAGCATAATAGGCCACACCCAACAGCAGGAACCCATTAGCATATTAGGCCACACCTCTGACAGTGCAACTCATTGGCATATTAGGCCACACCTCCATGTTACCAGGAGTGTGCTCATCCAACCACACCCACCTTTCGCTTCTTATTCTGTTTACCTTGTTTGTTGTCAAAACCCAGGGCTTTTTTGTAGCAGGAACTCCTTTGCATGTTAGGCCACACACCCCTAATGTAGCCAGTCCTAATGAGTTTCTGCTGTTGGGTGTGGCCTATTATGCTAATGAGTTCCTGCTGGGCGTGGCCAACTTGGGAGCCAGCCAGAACTCCGTTCCTGTGCGTTCCTGCCCAAAAATAGCCCTGGCTACGATTATGACCAATCTCAGGGCAAAGGGAATATTGCTGTGGAAGGTTACGGTTAAGGCTCTTCAAAGCACCTTTACTGTGCTTCTGTTCTGTTCGTCAATAAAGACTTTTGCTGTGTTTATGCTTCATTCATTATTCATTATTACTGTGCCCGCCCACTTGGGGCTCATTGGGCTGCCACCTCCCTTGCCACCAGCTCCGCTTGCCTGCCTACAAGGGGCTCATTAGACTGCCTGCTCTCACTGCTGCCCTGGCTCACCCACCTGCACCGCACACAAAATGTAAAATAGTGCCCTGGCATGGTGCTCAAATGTGCTCTATGCAATGTACCATGAGGTAGCAAGGCAATGACTGGCTACTTGTCTCAGCCCTTCTGATTGGCCATGATGGTTTGTTCAGCTTATGCACAGCCTAATGCTGGATCACTGGAACACTGACATGCAATTTTTTTTTTTTTTTTAAAGGAATCACCGCCCACCCGGTCCAAAATGGCAAGGTGGGCAGAGAACTGGGAAACAGCACAGGCATCTCAGGCTGCCAAAAAACTGAAGTCAAGCTGTTTCAGAAAAAAAATATATCAGGGAGAAACAAGTTTCAGGAAGAGTGGGGAGGTGTAGAAAAAAAGGGACAGCAAGACTTTGCTAAGGAAGCCATGTGGAAATGAGGTGGAAAACTGCCAAAGAGAAATGAAACTGGAACTTTAAGGATGTGTGGCAGAGATGCCTGCATGGCTTGCTGTAAATCGAATGCTGGTGAGTCCCACTGGTGGGAGTTTGGCCACTTGTTAAGCACATATACAAAGGAAAATCTCCGAGAGCACTTTAATTATGTTACCGCCATCTTGTGAGCCTGGAGAGGGCGGGGTTTCGGGAGAGGAGGGACCTCAGCTGGCTATAACGCCATGGCGTAGAGTCCACCCTCCTAAGCAGCCATTTTCTCCAGGAGAACGGCTCTCTGTAGTCTGGAGATCAGTTTTAACAGTGGGATAACTCCAGGCCCCACCTGGAGGCTGGCAAACCCACCAGACTAACACAGTGTAATGAATAATAATACATTTAAATCCAATGTAAGAGCTATACGGTGATTAATAACAAAAAAAATCATAAAATGAGTATATAATTATAACAATAATAAAATAATTAAAACACGGACAGAGACGCTTTGTTATAACGTCACACAATCGCCCGGAAGCGGAAGTGATTCTCTTTTCCTCCGTGCGTGTAAGGGACCGGCCATGGCTCCGAGCCGCTCTCGCCGGACGGGCTCCCACAAGGCCCATTCTCTGGCTCGCCAGTGGAAGACGAAGCGGCGTCACCGCGACCTGGACCAGATCCACCAAGACCTGCTGCCGGAGAACGCAGCGAAGCTGGTGCGCCAAGAGCCGGACGCTGACTTGCCCGGAAGCGCACAGCACTACTGCCTACACTGCGCGTGCGTAAAGAGAATCGGGGGGGGGGGGGAGGTTTGGTTTGTTGGGGGGCAGCCTTCCCACTCAGTGAAAAAACTCTCCCCTTCGCCGGCGGCGGAAAAAGAATGGGGAGGGGGGGGGGGGGGGAGGTTTGGTTTGTTCGGGGGCAGACTTCCCACTCAGTGCGTATGTGGAGTGAAGGACGTTGGTGGTCGATGTCCGTAGAAAGGGTCTCCAGTCGTCCCAGTTTTCTGCGTGTCCTTGTTGCTTTGAGCTCTCCCTTTTGCACTGTTAGGGCGAAGTGTCCTGTGCATGCAATTAAGCGCTGGCGTTGACAGGGAGACGTCCATTCAGCTCGATTAACCTTTGCTGCAGGTTATGGTTGTCTGTAGCCATGCACATGAAGCGACCTTATACTGAGTCAGACCCTTGGTCTGTCAAGGTCAGCATTGTCTGCTCAGACTGGCAGCGGCTTTCACATCGTCTTCTACCTGATCCTTTTAACTGGAGGTTCCAGAGACTGAACCTGGGACATTTTGCATGCAAAGCAGATGTTCTGTCATGAAGCCATGGTTGTTCCCTGTAGGAAATCTCACACAGACCTGCCTTGTACTGAATCAATCTTATCTGGTATGACTGGCAGAATCTCAGGTAGAGATCCTTCACATCACCTACTACTGGATCCTTTAAACTGGAGATGTTGAGTCCTGAGATTTTTGCATGCAAAGTAGATGCTCTGCTATGAACCATTACCTCTCCCCGTACATGTGTAGGCTATCTGTTGCTGTACTATCTGGTTTGGACTGTGTTACCTGCACTTTGCAGTAGCCAGATATCGTCTGTGTGTCTGCCTAATGATAAGAACATGGGTGTATTGTTACAATGGAGATCTGGCTCTAATGTATTTTGCCAGCTGCAAGTGAAGGGGTGATGTTCCAAAAGCCTGTATTAGAGAGGGTTGTGCGTAAACTGCCATTGGCTGTCAAGAGCGGTAATACCCAGCAAACCTACATAGATTGCAGGGATGACAGACTACTGGCTCAGCCCCAGCCTTGAAGCTGCAACAGCAGTGTAGTTTTTTTGAACCACTCATACCCTCCCAAGTTTGCAGAACTAGGGGAGGTAATATTGAACAAGTTCTTCTTCCCTTCTTAACACGGGAAGCATTTACAGAGCTGTCTTTAAAATGGTGCAGATTTAAATTCAGATTATTTCTCCATACACACACACACACACACTATATGCTTCTGTCTCTGCTTCTGCTGGGGGATGAGGAGAGTGCTACTTCGAAATCACAGCTGTAATCAAGTCCATGCTTTCTCTCCTCTGGTTGTCCATCATTTTTATTCCTCTAAGAAGACAGCTGCAGTGGCTCAAGTGGTTAAGACACTGAACTGCAGGCTGTGGAGGGTCGGTAGTTAAGCAGTTCGAGACCCGGGTGCCGCATGATGGAGTGAGCTCCCATCTCTAGTTCCAGCTCCTGCCAACCTAGCAGTTCGAAAGCAAGAAATTGCAAGTAGATAAATAGGTACCACTTCGGTGGGAAGGTAACAGCGTTCCGTGCGCCTTGGTGTTTAGTCATGCCGGCCACATGACCACGGAAACATCTTCGGACAGCGCTGGCTCTTCGGCTTTGAAACGGAGATGAGCACCGCAACCCTAGAGTCGGATTCGACTGGCTTTCGAGCAAGGGAACCTTTACCTTTTTAACTCTGCTTAGGATTGGACTGTGAGTCTGCCAATGAAGGCCGGTGTGTTGGGCCTTGCCACTCAGCTTTGCTTAGGAAGAGGCTATGGGATCCTGACAGGTGCCCCCCCCCCCCCCCCCGTCTTATCTGAGGTTGAAAGAAATATTGACACAGCCCCTGGTAACCTCTTCAAGCCTTTGTTTCAGATCCTGGCAGACAAATATGGTTTAATAGGAGACTTTAATATTTGAGGTTATATAAATGATTTACATGTATTTTACAAATATTTACGTATAGTTATGTATAGCGAACTGAAATGTTCAAGCTTGGGTATAAATATGTATCACTTGTATTACTGTGTTCTGGTCAATAACCATAACAATAAATCTATTCTATAGGAGACTTTAGCATTAGAAGTTGGTACCAATGTGTTCGTGACTGACTCTCAGTCTCATAATCATAGCAGTGAGATTGGGGCCCTATGGACACACAGTGTTTGAACTGATATGAGATGAACTTGACTGCTCAGACTGTGGTGTTTGATCTCCAATGGCTGTCTTCACAATGTATTTCTTTGCCTTAATCACAATGTGCATTGAACATATGAACAGAGCATGTCCTGACTACCAGGGTAAACTTGGCATTTTGGGGTCAGCACCTGCCAATTCAAAATGTTCTCTTTTTTCCCTTTCTCTTCTCAGGCGATACTTTGTTGATTTGAAAAGCATGAAGGATCACTTCAAATCTAAGGTTCACAAAAGGAGGTACTATTGAGTCCTTGTATTGTTGAGCGTGATCACTGAGAGCATCTCTCCAGGAAATCATGATTGTCTGTGCATTTGAAATGGGAATGGGGACATGTTCATCATTTCTAGTGGACCAGTGGAAGATGTAGCGGGTGTGTGTGTGTCCCCATGTTTTTACTAGGCACATCCACTTTTGGAAACTGATTTCAGCACCCACCTATTTGAGACTCACCCTCTATGCTTCTCCAATCTTCTGGGAGGTCCCAGCCCACCATTTGTGGATTATGAACAGCTTCCTTTATAATAAGGGAAGAAAGCTATGCAGATATGAAAACCTTAGTACTTTAGAGACTAAACCATGGTTTTTTTCCCTTTTCAGCCTAATCGATGCACCGTTCATGCTCTAATTCACCAAAGCTTATGCTGCATTAAAGTGTAGTTTAGTTCCTACAGTGCCACTGGACTCCTGCTTTATTTTGCTGCTATGCATCTGGAATTTTACAAACATTACATACATTATCTCAGCAGTTGTTAGAAGAACCCTGTAATGGGATTGTCCCATTATAGAGGGAACCCAAGCCACCCAAGAATTTTATGGCTGAGCTGAGATTTGGAGCTTTGAGTGTACATATCTGCCTCAAACCACAGTAGTGCTCCAGCTTGGAAATCTGTTTGGGGCCTGTCCATCTCTCTTTGGCAGTGCCAAGTTGTGGCTCTTTTAGCTTGGACAGAGTCCAGTTTAACCCCCCCTTACCTGTTTCTTTGTTACTTAGCCCAGACCTCCTCATCTTACCTATTGTAAATAACGATTCTTCTTAAGAGCTGTTACTTGTCTGCACCTCCTACCACACCGTTACATGATCCTGCAGACTTTGCTGTGATCTCTAGCATGGTGCCTGCCAATATGTTTCATGATGCCCACATCTTGATTTATTTGGCCATTTTTTAATGCTGTGTCTCCAGGGAACCTGCCTAGGGCAGCTTACAGAACATAATAAAAACATTAAAAACCCAGCACAAAAACAGACCACTGAACAGCTTAAAATACTGGATTTACACTAAAAGATCATACCCTTAATTAAAAGCCTGGGTGAACAGAAATGTTTTGTCCTGGCATGTAGAAGCAGCATATGCTCTTGAGTCTTGTGGATAAAGTCAAAAAGCTCTTGAATGGAACAGGGGGAGGGAAGTGAGCTTCCAGTTACTCCTTACCAGCTGATTTGACTAACAGAACACTGTGCTCATCCTAAATGGGTGTATCACATCTGTGCATCCTCATCTCGGCCATTGACAAGGGTTTCCTTATGTCTCTTGGCTTGGCACCCTCTCCCTGTGCCCATGGAGGAAGAAAATGTTCCTCAGTTGTTGGAAATGGACTCCGAGCAGCATCTCACAAAGAGGTCAATCCTAGTTTTCCTTTGACTGCTTGGAGTAGGGACTGCTTCAGAAAAGCCCTGAAAGCATCGCCTGTATGTCTGCAGAGGACATCCATACAGAAATAGCTGCCTCTGTTGTAGGAGGGCCCATGGCCCCTTTCAGTGTTTTTGTGGAATCTCCAACACTTTGCTATTGGCTGTGCCTCCTATGGTAGTGCCAGCTGCCCTTTCTTAAAATTCCAGAAGTGCCTAGTGCAGTGGTGGCAAACCTATGGCACGGGTGCCAGAGGTGGCACTCAGAGCCCTCTCTGTGGGCACCCGTGCCATCGCCCCAGCCAGGCCCAGACCATCATTAAAGTGTCTAATTCTCTGCCAAATAATTTTAACTAAATGAAAGCATTTGGGATTGCTTTCCTTACTTTGTTTGGATCATCTTAAGTTAATGTATGAGTTGTTTTTTCTAAAGTAAAACCTCAGTATTCAGGTTAAATTGCCCTGTTGGCACTTTGCGATAAATAAGTGGGTTTTGGGTCACAGTTTGGGCACTCGGTCTCTAAAAGGTTCGCCATCACTGGCCTAGTGCCTTCAAAGCTTTCTTCAGGGGACTCACAAACACGCCACAATTACAAGCTCTCACATACAGCTTCACTTTTCATTTCCCTGTTGAGTGCTGACCCACTCACTTGTGCATTTTGATGCCATGACGAGTGATAGCTAATGGTAGCAGGACATGGAAAGGGAGGTTATGTGTAAGAGGGAGCCTGTGGTTCATTTCCCGTCCTCCAAGTCTGGATTGAGAAACTGAGTGGAGTGGTAATAACGCAGACGTCACAGCAGAGGTGGGGTTGTATGAATGTCTAATGAACTCAGTAGGTTTGACAGAGCTGACCGGGCTCTCTTCTTTCCCTAGGCTGAAGCAGCTGAGCGAGGAGCCATATACCCAGGAGGAGGCTGAGAGAGCGGCCGGGATGGGATGGTATATCCCTCCCAAAACAATTGAAGTTCACACGCAGCCCCTCGATGAGATGGAAGAGTCCAGCTGAGAACAGTGGCGGCATCGGCAGGGCCAAACGAGGCTTGCCCACTTGAAAATCCTGCAGATAACTTAAGACAATGGAAGTGCTAGTGGTAATAGAGAGGACAGGGGCATAAAGGCCCAGCAGAGAGGAGAGCCGCATCTCCTGTGGGAAAGACGGCTGTGGCTCATTCTCTTTGGCGGTGCTCAGAGTGCAGCAGGAGGCCTGAGAAAGGGCAGCCCGTGCCTCTACAGTCCATGGGACCTCATTATGTCACTAATTGCTTCCCTTACGAAATTGGCTGTTATGAGTGGGCAGCTGTGGATTTCCAGCATCTTGCTCCATGTGTGACCTTTTCCAGCTCTTTAGTGAGTCCTTTTAATAAAAGAACTGTTTGTTGGTTGGTTGAATTCGGGCTTTGCTGATTTGATTGAATGCACTAAAGGACTCTTTCAAGGGTGAGAAAGTGAGCGGGTAACACCATGCACACCCATCCTCTGTTTGGAATGGGTTGCTTAGTAATAATCGTCCTAGTTTGGTGTAGTGGTTAAGTGCGCGGACTCTAATCTGGGAGAACCGGGTTTGATTCCCCACTCCTCCACTCGCAGCTGCTGGATGACCTTGGGCAAGCCGTAGTTCTGATAAGAGCTGTTCTTGAAAAAGAGCAGTTTCTGTCGAGCTCTCTCAGCCCCACCTACCTCACAGGGTGTCTGTTGGGGAGGGGGAGGGAAAAGGAGTTTGTTAGCCACTCTGAGACTCCTTTGGGTAGCGAAGGGTGGGGTATAAATCCAATCTCTTCTCTCTCCTAGTTGTGTGCTCAGAATAGCGAGTGCTTGTTAGAATCCCCCACTTGCTTGCATGTTAAAAACAGAAAAGAATAACTTCTAATAGTCTTTAATTACTCTGATTGTGTGCCTACAGAGTAGGATAAATCATGTGCATTAAACAAACTTCTGTTTGTGCCCCAAGCCAGTCAGCTGAATTGGAGGGTGGGGACAATGAGACTCTGAAGACTAATCAATTTTTGGGTGTAAGTCCTGATTTCCATTTTGAGGCTGAAATGTGGAATAATTTTCAGCTCGCTAGGTCACATGGAAGCACCCATCCCTAACAATTACAATACACCTGCAAGGCAGCCAGTTAGCCAGCTCCAGTTATTCGTTGTCTCTTGTATACCTGTTGAGAATGTTGTTCATCTTCTTAGATCACATGAATGGCAAACTGGAAATAGAACAAATTCTTTGATAGTGCTGGTCATACGTATCCCCCCCATTTGGCTGTGAATGGCTGCTGAATCAAGCACATTGTTGCAATGATTCAGCAGAGACTAAGCCTCTTTACAAAGGCCTTTGGAAGGAGGTAGATTAACAGCCCAATCCTAGCCATGGTTACTCAGAAGTCAATTCCAGTATAATCAGTAGGGCTTCCTCCAAGGTAAGTGGCATGGAATCATAGCCTCCTCGCCCCTACTGCCTCTGTTGCAGTTTTTTTTTTTTGGAGCCTAAAATTCTACTTGGTGGTGGATTATGCCTCTAATCCCTCCTTGTGTTCTTAACTGTCTAGCTGTCATGGTTATGGATAGTTTTCTTTCAAATGAACTTTCTGATGCCCAAAGAGTGAGAACCTCCAGCTCTGAATGCATTGAAGGTTTGCCAATGTTGTACTGTCCCATTCTTCTTTTAAGAGCTGAACACATTGGTTCAGGGGGAGGGTCAAATATTACAGCCAAAGACTTTGCAATGCAGTACTTCCATACTAAATTGGGTCTACCCATATCCCCTTATACAGGTGTAGGTACCACTTCGGTGGGAAGGTAACAGCGTTCCGTGCGCCTTAGTGTTTAGTCATGCTGGCCACATGACCACGGAAATGTCTTCAGACAGCACCGGCTCTTCGGCTTTGAAACGGAGATGAGCACTGCAACCCTAGAGTCGGATTCGACTGGCTTTCGAGCAAAGGAACCTTTACCTTTACCTATATCCCCTTTGGCTTATGCCAGTTTATAAGTAGAATGGGCTCCTTTCATTCTTTCTTGCTGCTGTTTTACTTCCTAAAAATCCTGGGCACAGTTGCCCAAAATATAGCATTTCTAAGTAGAAGGTATCTAAGCAGGACTGTGAAATTCAACTGATTTTAAAATCTTTTAACTTAAAAAGTGCCCCTAATACTTCAGGGAGCAATTTTTTTAAAAAAGTAACGCAATATCAGCAAAGTTTCATTTTTAATACGAACCCTGGCAAAAACAGTAGGGGACAGATTTCTTTGGAGAAGAGGCAGGCTCTCTGCCACTGGGGAGAGAATGGTTAATATGAGATGGTCTCTTCTGCGACATGAATAGAAATTATTGGGGGAAATTGTTTCTCTTCAGCATTGAAGCCAGTTTGGTGTAGTGGTTAAGTGCGCGGACTCTAATCTGGGAGAACCGGGTTTTATTCCCCTCCACTTGCAGCTGCTGGATGACCTTGGGCAATCCATAGTTCTAATAAGGGTTGTCCTTGAAAAAGAACAGTTTCTCTCAGAGCTCTCTTAGCCCCATCTACCTCACAGGCTGTCTGTTGTGGGGAGGGGGAGGGAAAGGAGATTGTAAGCAGCTCTGAGACTCCTGAGTGAAGGGCAGGGTATAAATCCAATCTCTTCTTCATTGCTTATCCACGAGCAAATTTGTGCAGACAAATTGACTAAAATACACAAATGAATTGATTTGAAAATTGCTTGAGGCCACCTTGCTGGGGAATTGCAGTATACCTGTAGCCTTGCCCCCTCCCCCCACCGTACGTTGCAGAATCTTTCTGTGACCGTGATTAGATGGCATTGTCAATTCTATAAATGGTGTTCATTTTGGTTTGCTCCTGAGGAATTGCAGAGCTTAACATTTTTAATCTTCCTGATCGACTTGTAGAAAACAAGTAGCCAAACAGTAACACAGGCGAATGTTTTAAAGTCAGATTTATTGTATGCAGGTGTAACACAGTTCATCCCGTCATCACTGGCAGGAGTTGGGGTGGGATGGATGGATGTTTGCCACTAGGGCCTTCCTTACCTAGTCTTTTTGCTTTCCAGGAGCCTCATCTGCTGAGGTTTTGGAGGTGGATTTGCTTTGAAGCCTTGAATAAACTGACTCAAAGGCCCCCTAAAGAGGTTATATTACTTCCCACCCCCCTCTTAAGAGGATCACCCCACACTTGCATTCTTCCCAACTACTGACCCGTTTTTACAATGGAAGCACACCAGCATTGGTTTTTTTAAAAATCCCCCTCGCCTTTCTAATCGCAAGCTTAAAAGCAAAGATTTAGGTCACAGCTGTCCTGCCACATGTGCCATTATATAACCGATAGCGTCTTCCTTCCAATCTCCCAGAGTCCACTGCTTTTGGCTGAGTGGGAGGGAGTGAATGGTGAATAGAGTCAGCCGTCTGTAATAAAACCAATTACTATCGATGCAGCACATTTTGGCTGTCTTCCCTCACCCCATCTTCCAGGCACTGCCCATATCTTATTAAAAAAAAGGACAGGAAAGAGGTGGGCAAGGCCCTCCAGAACACACCCCCCCCCCCGGGGAGCCCTTTAAGGCAGTGGCCCAACAGGAGTTTGTGTGTAATTGCTACTGCTTAGATGCTAGGAGGCGTCTGCCTCCACAGATGGAGCAACTAGTTCATTCCATGCTGCCTGAATGATGATTTCCCCTTTACCTGTTGGGCCTCATCCTGATCTCACAAAAGCACTGCTGAAGCCCACTGTCAAAACTCATTCTCTGTTCCTCCTTGTAATGCATAAATACCTTTGGGCATTTTTATTTTTTGAGCGCTGGGCTGACGCATACTAGCCAAGGCAATGTCAGCTCTGTGAATGAATCTGCAAAAGATAACCAGCTTGCTCTCCACCTCCTTCCCTTTGTGCTTGAGCCAGTGTGGTGTAGTGGTTAAGTGCGCGGACTCTAATCTGGGAGAACCGGGTTTGATTCCCCCACTCCTCCACTTGCACCTGCTGGATGACCTTGGGCAAGCCATAGTTCTGGCACAGCTGTTCTTGAAAAAGAGCAGTTTCTGTCAAGAGCTCTCTCAGCCCCACCTACCTCACAGGGTGTCTGTTGTGGGGAGGGGAAGGGAAAGGAGTTTGTAAGCCGCTCTGAGACTCCTTTGGGTAGTGAAGGGCGGGGGTATAAATCCAATCTCTTCTCCTTGTGGATATTTCTTCCACGATGACCAAAAAAAGACCCTGCACACTTGCAGCATACAAAAAAGCTGCTCTACCCAGTCACCTAGAGGGGATTCATACCTGCCCAGGACAGGGTTGCACGGCAAACTGAAGTCAATTTCCCTAGTCTCTTCCTCTGGAGCCACACTGGCCTTTAGTCTAGACTAGGAAGAGGGGCCGAGGAGGAGATGGGAAACCCTGCAACCAGTGATCCCCACTGTACTACAGTGAAACACATCAAGGGAATGGATAGATTTATCCTTTCAGTGAGACTCTGGGAGAAGAGAGTGAGGCTGGAGCTGGAAGGGGAAGCCGGTGACCCGCTGCGGAACAAGAAAGGACCATGGGAATCCTCGCGCGAGCCACCCAAGCAAATGCATGCTAAGTACACATAACGAGCATCTCCTGAGTCACAGGGTGAATTTCAAGCGTCCCAAGCCTTGCCCCTCGTCTGTCTGCCCTGCTTCCACCACCTTTGCCCCCCGACTGCTCTTTCTTGGAAGATGAGCATTATGGTTCCGAATGCGGTTTGACCTCTTCACTCATTTGCCGGGCGCTGTAGTAGGACAGGCTTAATCCCATAATGGCCAACAGCAGTGCCAGATGATTCACCAGCCGGTCTTGAGGTTCTGATTTGGATCCACTGGCCAATTGCATCTGTGAATTGGGAAAAATAAGGCGAATCCTTAGAACAGTGATCCCCAATCTTGCGCATCCTGGTACCCGCTTCCTTTCCCCCCAAAGCAAACAGCCAGTCCTAGGCTTCCCCCACCTCACTGGAGACAACACCACAGGGTATCACTTTTTATCTGCAGGGAGCCCCCCTTCAGAAACAGCTGCCTCCACCAAAGGAGGATGATTACTTAGAATCTCCCAGTATTCTGTGATT